CACCGTTTGGGCGTGTGGAATGGCCCCACATGGCTGCAGCCCCCAAGCCAGTCTGTAGCACTTGGCCATGCGGCGGCGGCCCCAAAGAGGTGTGCCCACTGCTAGCTCTTTGCACTATTTAATTGCGCCTGTATTTTAATCATTGACCATTTAATTGCTATTATTTTACTACATTTTGATTTTTTCACCTCCTGGGTTCTGTGGCGTAATTGTAAAATATTAATGGCAAATGTTAATTATTTAGCAAAATTAAGTTTGTATTGATTTTATTTATTTATTGCAGTGTGTTGTTTGTGTCTTTTGTTTGATCCTAGCAAGAGCGCCGTTATATTTCTTGTGGGCCCTGTGGTGTAGGAACGGGTAGAGGATGTGGGCGGGCAAAGGTGGAAAGGCCTCTGGGGATGGGTTTTATTCTTATCGATTCGATTTTATTCTTAGATGCTGCTGCAACTTTGTGCTCCGGAACTGTCTGCATTTTAAACTGCTGTATTGTTGTTTGTTTTGGTGTTACCTGTTCTGAGAGCTTTGGTAGCTGTGGATGGTATATGAAAGCTGGAAATAAATGAATCGACATCAAGATGTCCCAACATGAGCTCTGCCTATAAGAGCCGGATCTCTTCTGATGCTTGGGGATGAAATTTATGCTGCTGGGTGTTTATCTGCACCGGCTGACCGGGGAAACCGAGAGCTAACCTCGTTGCTCAGCTCGGAACATCCCTTCCGTTTTTGTTACGGGTTACTGTTATTGCTACCCTTGTTCCGTCAGGGTCCCACCTTCCAAGGAACCCATGGTGGGGAACACGATTGTCCCCCTTCTCCTTTCCATTTCATCTTCACAACAACCCTATGGGAGCCCACAGGAATGGGGCAGGGAACACAGAGCAAAATAAAGCAGCGAACGCAAGCCCTGTGAGTCAGTGACCAGCCCAAAGTCGCCCAGCAATTTTGTGGCCGGGGGGGGGGGGCTCATGCACAACAACGCACTGATGCATTCACCTCACATTTTCCTCCCTGACCCTAAATATTTGTCCTTGTTCAGTTGCAAAGTTGGGCATGACTCTTCGCAGCCCCATGGATTATTCCTCCAGGCACTCCCATTCTCCACCCACCCCAGAGTCTGCTCAAACTCACACGCACCGCCCCAGAGACTCCATCCAGCCCCCTCCTCCTCTGCCGTCCCCTTCTCCTGTTGCCATCCATCATTCCCAGCATCAGGGGCTTCTCTAGTGAGTTCCTCCTCCTCAATTGGTGGCCAAAGTATTTGAGTTTCAGCTTCAGTATCTGGCCTTCTGAAGAGCAGTCAGGGATGATCTCCTCTCAGACTGACTGGTTTGATCACCTTGCGGTCCAGGGGACTCACAGGAGTCTCCTCCAGCACCACAACTCAAAGGCCTCAATCCTTCAGTGCTCGGCCTTCCTTATGGTCCAGCTTTTACAGCCATACATTGCAACTGGGAGAACCGTAGCCTTGACTATACGCACTTTTGTTGGCAGGGTGATGTTTCTGCTTTTTAGTATGCTGTCTAGATTTGCCACAGCTTTCCTCCCCAGGAGCAAGCGTCTTTTAATTTCTTGGCTGCAGTCCCCGTCCGTGGTTATCTTGGAGCCCAGGAAGATAAAATCTGTCACTACCTCCATTTCTTCCCCATCTATTGCCAGGAAGTGAGGGTATCGGATACCATGATCTTAGTTTTCTTAATGTTGAGTTTCAAGCCAACTTTTGCGCTCTCCTCCTTCACCCGCATCAAGAGGCTCCTTAGTTCCTAAATATCTACTGTGCAATTATTATCCACTATATGCTGAAGCAGCAAGAGCATCATTTGATCACAAAGACACACTGAGACAACAACCCTGAACGTTACCCAACATGGGTAGTCCCCAGGTTATGAACCTCCAGGTTGCGAACAACCCGTATTTACAAACAAGTGAACCTGGAAGTCCCACCTCGTCCTCAAGGGGCAAGTGGGTGGCCCAGGACCCGCTTACCAGCTGCTGCTCCTGTCCAGGTGAGCTGCAAAGCCAGAACTAGAAAGCAACTCCAATGGTAACCACCCCACGAAGCAGCACAAGCAACACCCTCCTTTCCAGCACCAGTTCTCCTCTCCATCTTCATCCCGTTAATGCTAGGCTGAACGGTAGCTCAGAAAGTGTTTACCTTTATTAATCGTCTTACTATCTTTCTATCTGAATTGTCTCAAGAACTGGACTCTATTCCTACACGCATGCGCACAGATGCTTTCATTCTCTCTCCCTCTTCAGTACCTCTAGTTACTTTATTGTTGATTTATTTATTTAATTTGAGGCTTTTATATCCCACCCTTCACAATGTCTCCGGGCAATGATGCAAAGAAATTAATAGGGTACTGCATTGAAAAATCACACAAATGAATAAAATCTGATCTTAAAAATGCTATTGTTACTCTACTATGATTATGATTAAAATGCTGTATCGTGTTTAATATGTTTTAGTCAATAAGGAAGTGTTTCTTAAGTGAATAATATGCTTTTTAGGTATGTGATCTGACTTAAATACAAATGCAACTTAAGGATGTTCTCAGGAACGGAACTCGTCTGTAACCTGGGAGTACCTTCACTTGAACTGTTCAAACATCAAGGGGTGACTCATAAAGGGTGGCCTGGATCCCTGTGCTTCCACTCTAAGATTTAGGGGTGAGGCCAGGAGGCTTAGGGGCGGAGCCTTATGGATTGGGGTGGGGCCTAGCAGCTTAGTGGGTGGAGCAACCAGCAAAACCCTTAACCAAGGTGTAAGAGCTTCATGTGCCGCTGTGGCTCCTGTTGCTCCCATGAGATTCTAGTATTTCTCCCTCTGAGACTCTGAGAAGAAACTGAAACCCTGGGACAGCAGACCAAGCGCTCAGCCTTGCAAACTTGAGTCGGAAACAGCCAGCAACCCACACACGCCCTGAGAAAAATTCAGGAGAGCTTGGCTCCAGAAGCGATTGAAAACTTTTTCCTACCCCTGAATAAAGGCTCTTCAGGGTACAAGTCTAACTTCCTGAGGAAAGTCCCTTGGGCATCCCCAGGGCTTTGGCCAGACCTGAATCTTAGAACTGCTTTTTTTGCTCAGATCCTTGGCATGCTTCAGAGGGAGGGAGGGAGCCGTTTCTGCAGTGGCTGGGAGTGCCTAAAGCCTCCCCCCCCAGTGACCCACAATGAGCAGCGTGGCTTTTGTGCCGCTATGTCTGGGGGCGGAAGTCTCTTCAGCGCCTGACAATCTTGAAAGGAAGCACAGAAGCAGAGGCACCAGTGGATTTCCGGCCTTGTTGGCATGGGGTGCCACGGCCCAAGTCCAGAGCGGTGCCCCTGGCTTAGGCTGATGCTATAACGGCCGCGGTCTGGAAGGGCCGGTATTTTGTGGCCATGGAGAACAGGAGCTGGGTGGGTGGTCCCTGAAGTTGACAACAGCAATTCTACCAGATGCAGTAATGGAAACGAGGTCAGCGCCAACCGCATCTCCTTTGGAAGGACCCTCCAAAGCTGCGGTGCCACCACAAAGAAGGCCCCCTCCTTGGTCATGCACCTCTCCTGGGTATGGTATTCAAAGAAGGGCCTGTTGAGAAGATCCCAGCACCAGGCAGGATAGTATGGGAGCAGGCAGTCCTTCTGGGACTCAGGCCCACACCATTCAGGGCTGGAAAGGGGTAACCAGAACTTTGAAGGGGCTCAGCAGTGAACTGGGGGCTGCTTTAATTCCCTACGACTTGGAGGGACGCGGCTGTCCCACTCTGCACCAGGCAGAATCGTTCCCACTGAATCTGGCGGAAGTTCAAGCTTCAGATATGAATCCCAGATATGAATCACCAGGATACGATTCCTGAGCAGGGAAAGGGCTCAGCAAGCCAGATGGGGAACCAGCCAAACTTGGTCCAATGGACGTCCAACCATTGAGGCCGTGTGGGTCCAACAAGGGGGTCAAGGCCTCCTTCCCATGCTGTCCTGGAAGGCTGAGCCAGTTTCTGTAATCGCAGCAGAGCGGACGGCGGTTGCACCCATCAGCCCCAGTCTCTTCTGCCACCCTTAAAACAGGGCGTTGGGCTGTTCTGAAAAGTTCTGAGCAATCCTGGTCATGAAGGACACTTGAGGAAGCGGACGGAGTAAGGTCGGCATAGCCCACCCTTGTGGAGGACCCCAGAAGAGGCCCGTGGACCAAAGTCTCCCCGAGTGCCTCCTCCTCCTCCTCACTGCAACCTGCTTATCTCGGACTGGCCCAGACCAAGCTGGTGGTGAGCAGGAGGAGGAGATGCCAGGCCTGCCTTGCTCACAGCTCTCTTAACACAGAAACAGAGCGAGTCAGAAGGGGCCTCCTGGGCCATCTAGGCCCACCATGTGCCTGTCCAGCCTATCCTTGACACCCTCGCCGGTGGGGCCTCAACCACCTCCCGAGGAAGCCCATTCCACACCCTAGTTAGGGTTCCTGAGTGTCAGGAAGTGCTTCCTGGCATCCAAACCAAACCTTTTCTTCTCAGGCCAGGGACCCATGTGGAGCAAGAGCAGATAGAGGCCCTGGTGGTGAGGTCAACCCGGCGAGGAAGCAGTCCATGGACAGGACCTTGCTGCCCTCTCCCCAAATCAGAGCCAGCTCCAGTGGGGCAGTGAAAAATTGTCGCAGGCAGGTGCTCATCAGGGCCATTCCCCGGAGGTCCCCCAAGCAAAGTCTGAACTTGCAGGCAGCTGTGCTGATCCAGAGCAACAAAGCAGGCCGAGCCATTTCCATCACCACTGGAAAAAAGCTAAGCCAAGTTTGGACCCCGTGCCCCCAAATTCCACACAAAGCACCCTTGCTCCGAAAACGCATTCCCAGCTGCCGTGAGGCGCTCGGAGGGAAGGGGGGATCCGGGCGGGCTGGCAGGCCCGCTCGGCGACCCCGCCTATGAGGAGGTCCCGGGGCAGCCTCCCTGCGGCCCCGGTTCCGCTGCAACACGAGGGGCGGCCGTGGGAAGGGGCGCGGCCGCAGGGGCGCGGGCGGGGGCGCGACTCACCCAGCAGCAGGTTCAGGAGGACCTCCTGGCCGGCCAGCGTGCTGCTCTTGACCAGGCAGATGAGCGTGCCCCCGATCCAGGGCACGCCGTGGCCCGTGATGCCGATGAGGTTGACCATGGAGCGCGCGTTGCCCCAGGCCGCGCCGCTGCTGGCGCACACGCCCAGCCGCTTCGAGAGCGAGATGTCGATGGCCAGCAGCGCGCTGTACGCGATGCCGCGGAAGGACGGGTTCAGCTGCATGCAGTCCTCCTCGGGCAGCTGCTGCGACTGCCTGCGCTCCCGGGCCCCCTCGGCCTGCGCCGGCCCGCCCTGGCTGTTCTGCCGCCGCGCGGCGCCGCGCGGCTCCGGGGCCCCCTTCAGCGGCTGGCTCAGCGAGAGGAACTCGGCGCGGTTCAGCACGTTGCCGCGGTCGCGGGCCCGCGCGCGGCCCGGGGGCGCGGGCATGGTGCCGGGGGGGACGCGGGCCGCGGCTCAGGCAGCGAGCGTCCGGCCAGGCGGGCTGGGCAGGCCCCCGCCGAGCCCGGGCAGCGCCTTCCCACCTCCCGCCACGGCCAGGCGCCTCGCGAAGCGCCGGAGGGGCGCGCGCGGCTAAATATAGGGCCGGGGCGCACGACCAACGTGCCTGCTGGCCCGGACGCCGACCAAGCGCGGGGGGCGGGGCGCGCGGGGGGCGGGGCGCGCGGGGGGCCACCAGCGGCCGCGGCGGCAGCCAGTCTCGCCCCGAGAAAGGCCCGGCCAGCCAATGGGCGGGCGGCTAAGGAGGGCCGTTGGCCCAGGCCAGCAAGCCCGGCCGCCTCGGGACTGGGCTATTTAAATCGCCCAATTGCTGGGTCCACGGGGCCCCGGAGGAGGATGGGAAAGGTAGTTCCTCTCCCCGCGCGGTGAGCTCTCCAGTGGGGGGGTTCTATCGGTGTGCCGCATCGCAAACCAGAAAGAGCGCACGGGCGCTTTCGAGGCGAGCGCAAGGCTTTTGCAGGTGCCTTATCCGAGGCAAGGAAGGCAACTCTTAAATCGCTCTCAAAATGCACTCCATCTCGCTTTGAGAACAAGGCTTTGTTGCTGTTGTTTAAATGCTACATTTGTGTGTTAATCAGATCATGGCTGATTGATTGATTGATTGATTGATGCTGTGCTTTTCCATCAGGAAAATCACAGCAAGTACTCATTGGACCAGAATAAAATAAAACAAAATAAAATGCAATACAATCTCGGGTAGAAGAAGAACAGTACAAATGTGTAACCCCCACCCTTGAAAACCTCACAATCATCACAGAATAAAAACAGCGCCTGGTGCCAAAGATCATTCCAATGCGGTCTGTGTTATTGTTCAGCAACGTTTTGGCAAGCGCTTGGGTAATGTCACTTCGCTTTTGCATTTCAGAGCCTTCCAAATACACAGTTTCCATCTCTCCTCCCCAAGGCAGCACGTGTGTGTATAGAGCTGCCAAGCTGAGATGGACACTTTGGTACTTGATGAAACACGGCAGCAAGCAGGATCCTCTGCTTCTGCTGGGGAAATTTAGATAAATCCTGGCAGAGAAACGTGGCTTAAATGTGCCTCTGTGTTACAAAATCAACCCTGCACCTCTTTCTCACAAAGAGCAGCGTTGCAAGCCAGACCTCTGTTGTTGCCTTAAGAAGCTGAACTGGGAAACTGGCAGAGGGCCCATACCTGTGCAGAGCTGCAACAAGGTGCCCATTTGCTTCTGAACGGCCCACCTGAGTCCCACAGAGGCAAGCCAGAGTGCCATTCTCAAAACAGACTTCCTAAATGCTTCCTCCATCAGAAACATCCACACATTTAAACAGACCTGCAGGGTAAATGAGTGGAAATGCACCCGTCTCTTGCAAGAAAGAGGGAGGGAGAGATCACGATGGCTTAAGAGGGTCATTTCCCAGCCTGGTGCCCTGAAGATCAACATGTGGGCATCAAGTCCCATCAGCCAGCCCACATAGCCCATGGTGAAGCACGTTGGGAGTGGAAATCCAAAGCATTTGAGAGAATCAAGTTGGGGAAAGCTTTGCTAGGTTCATCCCCGCAGCAAAGCAGGTGCAAGCAGAGGAACACCGAGACCCAAATAAAGTTAAACTTTTTGAAGTGGGAAACTCACATCCCAGGGAACTCTTGCCTCAGGCAATTGTACAACTCTTACGTCATAGGCACAATATCTTCCATAAAAGACAACTTGTCCAAGGCACATGCTATTAGTCATATTAATTACTAATATGGATAATATCAATATCCGTGGCAGTTGCTGCTACCGTTCTTCCTATCGCATTGCGTGCATGCCCTACCTATTCCCTCCTGTGAGGAACCCAAGGCTGCCCACGTGACTCACAACAGCCCTGCGAGGTAGGTCAGGCTGAATGCGAGTGACTAGCCTGGCGTCACCCAGTGAACTTCAGGGCTGAGTGGGGACCAGACCCCGGATCTTCCGGGTCCCAACATTCTTACCACCACACCAGCTTTCCCGGTTATGACCTACCTCTTGCGTTTTAAGCTAAAGTAGGCTGGGTATTTGGGGTGTGCTTGGCCCCGCCCCTTCTCCCCTTGGCCCCGCCCACCACTGGCACTCGGCCCTAGTGCTTCTCTGAGGGAATTTGGCCCTTGCACGGAAGGGGGTTCTGCAGCCCGGCATTAAGGTGCCCTCTGCACTTGCTCCAGGAGCGCCACGCGACGGCTCGAGCGAGGAGCAAATGGGCCACCCTTTTCCAGACGTGGTCCCAGGGGTGTGCGGTGGGAGTGCTTGTGGCAGCAGGCTGGAGGCGTCCGAGTGCCTGGAGAGGAGGGCAAGGCTGGGCTGGCCCAGGGGTCTCTCTTCGGCACAGAGATCCTCCCTGGAAACTACGACCGCAGGGGCTTTCCAGGGTATCCTTGGCTGGAGGCGCTTGGAGGGCCAGGCTGGGACTCCCGGTGCCGGGCAGCGCTCAGTCCCCAAAGACATGGCGCCGTCTCCAAGAGCCGCTCCCGGTGCAGCACCCTGCAGTAGCCCAGCCAGGAGGGAGCCCAGCCGGCCAACTGCCCCAGCGTGGCAGCCCAGACGCGTTTCCTGCAGTCACCATCCCTGCATTGTAGGAAGGGTCCTGCAGCGCTTGGAACAGAGTCTGGCAGGACAGAGCCCGTCGGTTTGCGTCTTTGCCCTGCCCTTCTATTCCTGCCCCCTGATCCTTGGGCTGGGCTCGTGCTTCAGCGCTACCTCGGGGCTATTTTGATCCTGCAACCCGATCCCTCGCGAGTGTCTATTTTAGCACCTTGGAGAACTCCCAGTGAACCAACCTCCACCTCTCAGCAAAAGGCCCTCTTCCTTGGTAGCTCCGCCAACTTCAGGCCGCCCTTTTTCTTACTGGTATCTCGAGATCTACCAACTGGTGCAAAAGACACACCCTTAGAATGAACGTATTCTGAGCCCACAAATGTGTTTTGCAAACCGGAACAGGGCAGAGTTCAGAGTGTTTCCCTCTGAAAATCTTCTGGTTCCCACCGGCATTCTTGATCTATCTGGAATTTTCCATCCAAATTCTGCCCAGCCCTATATTAGGAAACATCATAACATTAACACTGTCGGGAGAGGGGTTTGTAGAAGAGGGGCAGCGGGCAGAAGGGGTGTGACTTAAAGTACCCCACCTGCTAACTTTAAAAGAAGTGGGGAAAATGTGTTCAGCTCACAGTTTAATTCATGTACCCAATTTAGCACTTTTGATCCACATAAGAAGCAGAACTGTATTATCCCTGGAACTATGCATTTTCCCAAAGTTTGCCATGCCATTTTCTAATCAGATCAGGTGGACGAGGGTGCATTCAAAAGCAACTGCAGTAGGTAAGTTGCTTGCAAAACGAAAAAAGGGGGAAAAGAAAGGCTCATTAGGAAACACGCCCATGAAAATAGGAGTAGCAAAACAGGTTAAAACGCTGATGCAAACTGTAAACAAAGTTCAACGTTTGGACAAACTGAACTGAAAGAAAGGATGAAGACTGGGGAAAATGGAGAGAAGCCAACATGGCCAGATTTGTGTCCATCAGTGCTAACTTTTCACTTGCCCTGGTTCATTTTTAGCCTGCCATTAAAAAGAAAAAAAAAGACCCCGAACCTTGAGTCCAGAACAAAGGGGAGGGTGCCAAGTAGCCAAGAGACAAGATCACAAATCAGCGTGAGCTGACTGATCCGCTTAAAATCATCCTTGTGTGTCTTTAAAGCACCTCTTCTCCGAAAGGTGCTCCATTTGCAAAAAGCGATGTACGGATGGGGGAAGAGGAGAGCATTTGATTTCAGAAAAAATATCTCAGCCAGAAAGGTTCAGGCTGCAGGAGAAGCCATTGGCTGGTGGCTCAGATGGACTTCCAGAGGGGGGCCCTAGTGCAGCCCCCCCTTCAAACCACCTCTGGCCTATGAGCTCCCCCAAATGCTTCCCAATTCTTCCCTTCGAGGACGTGGGTGTCATTCTGTCCTTATGGGCAGCTCACGCTCAAGCAGCATCACCCTGGCTTCCCATTTTGCACTTTAGGAATGTCTTGCGCAGCTGTTGCCCCGGATTGGCGAGCCTGTCAGTCAGAAGCACCCAGACACAGCCCTAAACGCCCTGCACAGAGCTGCTCTTGGTGGAAAGGGTGTGGGGAACCAGAGCAGCATGTCCCAAGGGTGCACTATTACATTATTTGAATGACTGCTAACATGACAATTCTGCAGGAGGGCAGAGACGGCTGCTCTTCTGCTCCTTTCACCACAACCCTGCGAGGTAGGCTAGGACAAGCAATAGTAACTGGGCCAAATCTGATCCTGAGCCCTTGATAGAAACCACGGTCCCTTTATGCAAATTTGAGGCGCAGCCACACTTCAAATACTGGCTACATTTCTGGGCACTGCACTGAAAAAGGCTATGGAAGAGTTGGGGAAAGAGCAAAGCACTCGGTAGCGTGTATGGTAGTTTGTTTATTTTTTATGGCATGCCAGGAACCAGGTTGGGAAAGGCAGCGCCTGGCATGCCATAAACAATAAACTACCATATAAGAAAGGCTCCTGGGAACCCCATAGAAGAAGCCCTATTTTAAATTCAATCATGCAAGTTTAGCACTGATAGGTTTGAACGGCGTTTGATTCGGACACCCCTTCCCAGCCCAAAACATGGCACCAAAGGCAGCTTAAAATCACAGATAAAACTGATTCAAACGCTCTTTGGTGTGGATCTGTCCCGAAAGGCAAGCAAACACCTGTGCAGAAGCGGCGCAACTGGCAGGTGGGCGAAAACACAAACGTGCCACTGTGAAGAGGAAGGGTTGGCGCCCGGCAGGGAGCCCCACTCTGCATGGATTCCCGGCGCATCCACGCAGGGCTGGAAAAACACCTGCCGGAGAGTCTGGAGGGAGCCGTGGATGGTCCATGTTGATAATCCTAGATCAGAGACACGCATGACTTGGTATTCACCCAGATGCAAAACAGGGGAAGGCAACCTGCCTGTGGCAGAAGTGAGCTCTCCCAAATTAGAAATTGACCAGGCCAGCGACACGAAAATTTGCCCCCAAGGCTTGGAAAGCAGTAACAGGACAGTGACCTTGTGGAGCTGCGTTCAGAAAGGATGGCCCAGGCTGGCTAACCTTTCTCTGCTCACTTCACGGACGTGGGCTCCGTGAAAACCAAGCGAAGGAAAGCGATGGGTTTGGGGAAATCCTTTATGTATCTTCCATGATAGCAGAAGACTTTGCCACTGTGGGGAAGGGTGCCAGACCGGTTCTGTGTTCAGTCTGGGCCCTGGCTGGCCTCTGTTCTCACATCCGGAGATGGTCGCTGCGGATGCTTCCTCTCCAGAGCCACCCCGAGGAGCTGGACGGGAAGAGAGTCCATCTCAACGGGGCTGCCAAGTTTCTGCGGGCCTGCCAGTCCTTGCGTTCAAGCAACACTGCTTTCCAAGCAGTGAAAGGTTTGCTTGCTCTGATTTCTGCAGAAGAAACTGTGTGTACAGGACAAGGGAAGGGCGGGATTTAGGACTGAAACCCTTCTCATCATTCGGCAACATGAACCTTCTGTCCAGACCCGAGGCTGGGAGCTCTGGGTTTGAGTCCCTGCTTAGCCATGAAGACTCTCAGCCTGGCCTACACACAAGGCTGCTGTGAGGATAAAATAGGCAGATTACATAAACTGTGTCGGCTTCTTGGCCGGCAAAAGGTGGGACTAAATACACAGAACTCACCCTTCATGATAAGACTCCCGGGGGGGGGGTCTATCCAGTGCTTTAAAACAGCATTTAAAGATTGTCCTTTGCAAAAGCAAACTGATTAATATTAACTTCAATGTCAATTACTCTGGAATGGAGAAGGTTTCTTGGGCAGGTTCTGCAAGATTTGGAACAGAGCTGCAATCACTAACTTAGATGCTGATACATTCAAGTTTGTGAAAATGTAGTGAAATCAACGGATAAGGAAGCAGAGTTGTTTTTACTGATTTTTGGGAATGATAGATTTAAGGAAGATGTTTTCCCGTTTGTGTAGGAAACGGAACTCCCTTGCAGTTCTTTTCTTGACCTGCACTGCATTTTTATGATGTCAGCTCAAGAAGAAAGAAACAAAGGAAGATGAAAGAAACCAGCTGTTAAAATAAAATACCAAGATAAGCATGGCACCAAAGATAACAACCTTATTGAAACCAACAAACAACTGGGCACTCAGATAAGTTTCGAACCGGTACCTAAAAGAATGCCAAAGAAAAGCCACTTTGGACGCTCTCTGGTGTATCTGTGCTGGAGGAAAAGGAGGGCCTTGCTCTGAGTCTCAAATCAATGGGCCCATTGATAAGAGACTGTGCAGTGTAGTAGTTAGAGCTATGGATTGGGACTCACCAGATCCCAGTTCTAATCCCCACATGGCCATAAGCCTTCTAGTGATGTTGGGCCAGCCACTACTCTCAGCTTTGACCTACCTCGCAGGGTTGTTATGAGGACAAAATGAAGAGGATTATGTAAGTAGCCATAGTCTTGAGCTTGGCACAGGCTTTTACTGGCAGCCAGGTTTGGGAGAACAATCAAAGTATAACTGAATTTATTCTGGAAAGGAAAATCCATTGTTGAAAAGTTATGCACCCATTTGGTACTTCTGGGTCGCATCCAGATTCATGCTGGAGCAACTCAGCAGGCAGAACTGGCCTTCCCTGCCCACGGCAGCCCCCCAGCCCCAGCCCCCTAAAATTGCTGCTCAGAGAATCAACAAGCCCCGATGAACAGGATGTGCTGCCGAGTGCGTGCATCTTGGACCAGTGCATTTATACGCTACCATTTACGTATCAGCTCAACGGAGGCATAACTGTGAGGTAAATAACAGATAAGACTCGAAAGTACAAAACTATTTTAAAGAACAGTATCGATTATGATGATGATGATGATGATGATGATGATGATGATGATGGCGATGAGAGAGGACAAAGATACAGGGGACATGGCTTGGGGCTGGCTCCCGGCTTTGGCGAGTCTGGGGGAGAGGCCCGAAGGGTTTCCCCCTCAAGGGGCCCAGCCTCTCGCCCTCCTGGCCCGCCGCCGCACCTGCCCCCCCGCCGGCTTCCCCACGGGGGCTTGCCGCGCCCCCGCCCGGGCCAGGGGGGCGGGGGGCCCGGGCCGGCGCAGAGGGCGCCCCGCGGCTGCGCCCCGGCCCTGGACAAGTCCCCAGCCACGCGCGCCCCGGGATCCGGCTTTATTCTGCGGCGGGGTGGGGGCAGAAATAGAACTGAAACTACAATACCCAGCATTCCCGAGATGTTGGAAGGAAGTGCCTTTCGCTGTGAAACAACCGCAGTTTGAAAAGGGAGCGAGAGGGAATCTCGATGAGCCGCGGCGGGAGGGCGCCCTGCTGCCCGGGACCCCGCACCGGGCGGGCCGGCGGGCGCGCGGCTGCGGCGGCCTTGCACGCGGGCCCCGCGCCGCGGACGGGGGCCCCGGGCCGG